AGCAAACGTTATGATTTGAGATAGGTTACGCTATTGAAATGTCAATAAAGAGAGACGATGTACTTCAAACATAGTACACGCAACCTTAGAATTGCTTACTGGGTAATGCTCCTTACGATGCCACCGCCTTATTTTTTAAATAGCTTTTTAAGAGTAGCTTTATCCTGTTAGGTTTTCTTTCCATTCAGAGATATAGTCACATGCAAGAGGCAGACGAGGCAAGATCCCAGCAGAGAATTATTCTATTTCAAAGTTGTAACTTTGCATATTCTAATGCCTGTGTTTTCACTGTGGCTGCAAATTACTCTTCTCAGCATTTTCAAACAGTTTATCAAAGCAAATAGCAAAAATGTGACTTCAAGGGGCATTGTCCACAGCTTTAGAAACATCCCCCTAAGACTTCTAAGCAGCCGGGTGAAATTGTGTTTCTCACTTCAACGTTTTACGGTTGAATTCCCTTTTCTAATTTTAAATATACAGATCTATTTTCATCAAAGTAAGTGTAGCAAACTCAAAGAGGAAGAGAGATTGGCTTCACATGTTATCAGTAGCAATTGCTCCCCGATGGCTTTAATGTTATTTCCATAGCTCTAAAACTTCACAAACGAAGATGGTTATAAGAGCTGGCATCAGCAGAATAAAAGAGATCTTATTTCATCATGAACTAGATCAGGAAAAAAATAAATGGTAAATATTTCTCAACTGGATACCGGGAGGTACTTGCTAAAATCTGCACATTCATCCCTTCTACTGCATCATTGTAAATTAATGCAATTACATTTGAATAGTATCTGTTAGTATCATTAGCCATCAGATAATTACAGTATGCTATTCCAATGCAATTTAAGTATTAAAGGAACTTCACCTTTGGGCTAGAGCAATTTTTAATTTATCATTCTCAGACTTGAGATGTGCCTCAGCAGGACCACCATGTGATGCCTTCTCATCGTCTGTCCCGTTCACACTAGATGCTCGAGTGGAAGATGGTGTTTCACGTCCAGATTCCTGCAGCACAACACACAAATGAACACTGAGTGTCTCCTGCATCTCCTGCAACACCAAAACACCAATTTCATTGTAATCTTGCTCCCACACCACCCTGCTGAGACCTATGCTCTCCTGGCAGAACAGTGGTAACAAACACATACCCTTGACATCTTGGCTGCAACGCTGGTCTGTTTAAAAACAACGAAAAAATGGTAACGATACACAACATGGAAATTTAAAGTGTTAAAAAAAAATTTAAGCGTTTTAATTGAGAAGGCTTGTGTTTTCTAAAGGTTGGGTTTTTTTAAGATAATGAAACAATACAGTGCACCTGGAAGCAAACAAAGTCCAAACCAAAAACAAAAAAAAAGAAGACACTGCTCCTCCAAAGAGCTACCATTCATACAGTGCTTGGTGCTGATCACCAACCGAGAACAAAGAAAGCGAACCATAAAAGCCGTGACCAAAGTCTTTAAAAAACAAGTATCCAAAGTCAGCCTCTCAGATGGCTATTTGTGGACCCTACACAGGCGGTTAGTTGCAAGACTAAAAGCATTCAGCAACTTTTTTCTGATCGTGCATCTGACTTCCTCTCTGATCAAAATTCATCTAACTCTCCTCCAAACATCAGCCCAGGCCAAGAACGCCCGCTGACAGCGTTCATCCTTACCTAATGTAATGGGTATGAAATTGCCGTCAAACACACAGAGAGGCTGGGACAGCACCCAGTTTCCTCAAGCTGCAAGAAACCCGGACCTCCCTGGGCATGGAGGCCCTTGGCTACACCAAGGTGTGCTGCCTAGAGCAGGGCAGCGTACAAACATGCAGCACAAGCTTATTCCAACCACGCCATGGAGTCAGTCCCCGCACTGGCAAACCGAACTCCTGCAGAAGTGGATTAGACAGATGACGAAAAGAAGCGTCTCGATGAATCTCATTGCTGGCTGCTGAAGCACTACACTGACTTAACTTTCCCGTGACCCAAACTATGTGCAACAGTACAAATCAAAGGATGTACAGCTTTCCCTGTTATTAAAAAAGTTGTAGCAGCTCAAGAACTGCTGAAAAAAATTCGATTTAAATGACGGCAAAGAGCTTGGATGGATGAAAAATATTCCTCTGACAATGCTAACATCCAGCAGCTGACAATTACCTTCGGCAATCTTAATTTTATATGCTTTAAGTTTGCTGCCAGAAGCTGGCACAGTCCATTAGAAAATTTAACTTTAAATTATTTATCCTGTATGCGTACAGGTATTAAAGCTAAATTACAAACCTGGGAATGATTGCTTGAGGTCTCAATTTTCTCTTGAGATCTGTCTCTTGCTAGTTTGGCAGCTTCTTTTACTTCTTGGAATTTCTCTGCAAACTGGAAAAAGCATGAAATATATTTATTCAAATTATTTATCATCTATGAAACTGTTCAGATTACTGTCTTGATACGGTTCATAGATCTCCAAAAGTGAACAACTGATTTTGATAACTTAAAATATTTGGCAAGTAAAAACATTCTAATTCTTTGGCAGGAAGGTTCTTTCAGAAGGAATGGGGGTGTTTCTAAGAGGGACATCGCTGTAGCTGGGGTACTCTCGATCACAGTAAAAACCATGGAGAAAAGGAAATATTAGTGACTCCTGGTTTGATTCGGTTTTGTTTATTTCCTCCCCCTCTTCTCTTTCACTTGGTGTTGACAGTCTATTAAAGTTGAAAGTATAAAAGACATATGTTTGTATTTAAAAATTATCAGTATCTTCTATTCCTAAAAGCAAGTCAATTAAATTAAAGAATGCAAATGAGCTCATCTGCAGGATGCAAGCAAGGGACTATCAAGACATAGAAAAAATTAGAAGAAGGTAGATCTGAATGTACGATGGGGTCATATAAAAACACAGCTTTTCTGGTCCAATTTTCTTATTACTGGCAAAAATAAAGGTAGACGATCTCAGGGAAAGGCTTGAATGCTTCCTGTAAGAGGGCTATATCACACTGAGGGAGGCAGGGGAAAGGAGAGATAAAGACGAAAAGTAGCGATCCCAATCTCCGCAAGCTGCTGTAGGACATCTGCTCCGAAGCCAGTCTGGCACTTCTGAAATAAAAGTATCATCACAGCCAGCCAGGGTTGCAGGGCTTTACACACTTTAAATACTGTTTAAAGTTTTAAGAGGAGGATTGCAAAGATAGAAGAAAAGGCGTAACACACAACTTATTTTTTTAATTAAGATTTATCCGGTATAAGAATGAGTAACTTTGTCTTTCTGCTAAAGCAGCTTGGTCTCGCTTGCCTGTGTTTTGAGAAACTTCAAATACTAGAACGGGAAGACATATTATAAGTAAAAATATAAACAGATGTGTTTTGTTGCACAGCTTGTGAATAAAAGTATCGCCATTATATCCTCAGATAATTCAGAATACTTACGACAAAATTGTAAACAAAAGCATGAAAAAACTATCACATTTTATAATCATTATATGATTATAGAAGAAGAATCATTATCCACTTACTAATCTTGTCTTTTAACTTTTAGACTTACGGCAGGTATTTAGCATGCTCTCTCTCACTAAAATACTGGGATTATAAAGACGGATAAAACAAGTCTTCTCCAACTGGTCAATATGTGGAGGCACCCGTGTTTTGTATAACAAACAGAAATGGAAACTTCCAACACACACACATACATCATTCTTAAATCCCATGGACGAGCACATTCTCAACGCCGAGTGAAATACCGGATGTAGACTACGATCCGTGACGACGCTTATGAATGAAGATCGAGCTCTCAAATCCAGCTGTTTTCCATACAACAGCTGAAACTGCATATGCAAAGTATGAGCTCTCAGTGGTTGCTGTCTGATGGCGTGCGCAGCCACTACACACACAAAGGACTTGATTACCTTTGTAGCACTATAAAGATCATTAGGAACAACTACGTCACTTTTTCGCTTTAAGCGATTTAAGATACACAAAATGTATCTTCTGCCGCGACAACACAGCTATAACAAACTGATTATTTCTAAAATATTGTATCAACGGTAAGTTCTACGCTTGGGTTTCTTGCAAACAGTAAAGGGCTGTTTTGAATCTCTATTTTACAATAAATCTTTACGGGCAAGTATGAAAAATTTATGAGGGTTCTTCATGGACTATATGAAATATGAAAAGACAAAAAGAATTGGAAGTGATCTATCAAATTTTATTTTTGCAGTTATCTTCATAAAGCACACAGGAGACTGCTGTGAAAAATTATGTGAGCTGACAAGAAAAGAACATTTTTCCACATTTCCATAATAAAAAATTGTATATGACTGAGCAAAGTTAATCTTCAATATAAAGCCAATAATGATCTCATTGCATAACAGATTTCAGTCATGTCTCTAGGTTACCAACACGTGTTTAACATGCTTTTAACAATGTATTTATTTGCTTTTAGAAACAAGTACAAATAACTGAATTTTTCACCATCTTAGTGACAGATGTTTGGCTTTAAGAGTCAAAATATTACCCGTCCTTCTTATTGTTCTTACAGATGTAAAGACGGCTGTAACAGAAATCGTGGTGAAAGACTGTCTGGTTTTTGTTTACCCCGTACACTTAGAAACAGTCACTCCATAAAGAGTTCTGCTGCCACTTCTTTTTCATTCTTAGCTAATTAATACTTGCTAGATTTTACTAACAGTCTATTTTTGAAAGCTACGGAGGATCGCTTGGTTTGTTAGGAAATTAAAGCCTTTCACTTGATTACTCTTCTGAGTGCAGCAACACGGTGGTGACAGCCCAAACTTGTGTAGCATCACCAACGCTAACGTCCCCGAGAGTGACGGCACGGCCACAGTGTCTAATCACTGGCAGAAATTAGAGAGATCCTTCCTCTCCAGTAACGGATTTCTTCTGTCCCAAACATACATAATTGACAAATACTACAAAATCACGTGCCACCTCCAAGAGCTAAGCTGACTTTGAGGTATCAAGCCATTGCAACGATAGTGAGTGCTTTCTATGTGTGAAATTCCTAGTTAAAAAGTGAAATAATCTTCTGTTTAGTAAATGAAGACTTGGTAAATGTGGTCTCGAGGGACAATACATGTATAAATACCCAAAACCAATTAAAAAAATCATCATGCTCCTTCTCCTTCCATCTTTACTCCCTTCGTCTTCCCTTTCCTTTGCCCCTGTCCGCGGGCACAGTTGCCCAAAATTTGCCAAAAAAAAAAAACCTGGAGTAGCAGAAACACCAGCTGAACACCACTCCAGTAGCCCATCATGGATTACACGATGTGTCTTCCCATGCCCCAGGAAGCTGTGAGACCAAGCCGCAACAGGGAAAAGCTTTGCTGCTACCCACACTTGCGAGGTCTTTTAGTCTAAGGCTGCTGCAGCCCACGAGCACTGTTTGATTATGAGCCTTGGCCAGTGAAATTTAATGGGGACTCAAGGATGCTACTGTGCACTGCACAAATTATTAAAAGGCTGTTCAAATCTGCAGCCAGCTTGTCACCTGGAGAAATATATATGTGTATAAATAGGCTTTCGTAACATTTTAAACACTAAAACCCATTATTTTGTATGTGCACATTTTAAGCTCCTGATCTGGCATAGTATTTTACGTCTCCTGCTGACAAATTGTGCCAGTGTCAGATAGATGAAACAGCTGCTCCCACCCAAAGCATTCTCATAAATATTTCATCGCCCTCTCGTTTGCAGACGCCGGGCGACGCGGCGCTCCTGCTGGGGAGCACCGCCGTGCCGTCACCCGCAGGGCACGCCTCACTGCTCGCCGTTTTCGCTGGACGAGCCCTCAGTATCGGGCAGATTGGCGGCAAACAAGACTATTCACCCCAGAAAGCGGAGGGTAATTTGCGCTAGCACAAGCAGAGAGCTGCCAGCACCGCAGCCCGCTGGGCCGGGGGCTGCGCCGCTGCCCGGGGCAGGGGCCGGCTCCGCTCCCAGCTTTCTCTCTCCCCCGCAACACCATGCCGGCAACGCCGCACACATCATGTGCACACGTGCGAAGAAGCAAACTCCAGTGCTTCCCAGATGCTGGATGCAGTTGCGTTATGATGTGCAAAGTCTGGGTTTACTGGGTTTCTCACCTGTATAAATCTCTGTCCCTGTGCCCTCGACTACACGCGGCTCCTCAGACACGTCCAAGCATCCCGAGCGATAGCAGAAGTTCTACTTAACCGCTTCATGTGCAAAACACATCACTACCTTTACAGCACCTCGTCATCACAACCCAGGCGCATCGTTAATCCTCACCGCTCTCGATTTGGCTGTGGCAATGTATGAATTACGTCTTTACACCTTTTTTGAGGCACAGGGTGGGAAGCGGGGAAAGGAGGGCCAGCGAGTCCTGCAAGAGGGGGAAAGGACCCCAAGCAGGACATCAACTTTAAGCCCCAGGATTCTCCCAATCAATTTGAATGGTAATTAGGTTACTAGGTCACTGAATGCAGTTTTCATTAATGGCTCATGTTTAATTTGAACTGCTTTTCCCTATAGGTATGGATTAATGCTTGAGTATCTCAAGAGAAGCAAGGCATTAGAGAGAGGCAATATCTTTTATTAGGCCAGCCAATATACTTAAAAATGCAGACGTTTTTAGGCGTGCTAACCTCTTCCCATGTCTCATTATTATTCATTGTTTTCAGCACACATCTTTCAGCTTTATTTAGTTATTTATTTATTTAAAGCCAGGGCTATTGATCTCTGGCTTAGTGGAGTTTTAGTGTGTCCTTCCAATTCCTGACTAAAAGCTTCAATTATTTCCAGTAAAACTGGCACGTTTTAATTTATATCTTTTATAAGAGTATAATAGTATCAACATAAAATGAAACTTGATTTTACTATTCCCAATACGCTTCCGTGTCTGTAATCTCTCCACTATCTCTGATCTTCCGTACTAATGGTTCAGTAATCAAACCGAGGAGCATGGATGATGTAGGGTATCTTTGTCCCATTGCTTTGCATGGTGGTAATAAACTAGGTTTTCTAACATTTTCTGGATAGACAACTGTCTTTTTTTTTTTTTTTAAAATAGATCATCTTAAGCCATTTTCAGAAGTGCTCCCCTCAAGCTCCCCTTCGATACTCTGTCCAGAAAACATCTTTCTGCTGATTTGGAAAGCTCCTGCTGCAAGTAGAAAGCTGTATTATTGGCAGTGGGCCCTTCAGCAGATCCTGCAGGGCACACAGATGTACAGACTGAGCCAGAGAGAAACACAGCTGGTGCTGGGGCCCATGTGCCCACGTGACATGTTTTTCAGATGGGCTCTTGTCTGGCCACAAGAACATTAAAGAGTTGCTTTCTGACACCAGCATTAAATTTGCTCTAAGTATGTGTTTGGACAGTTTCGGAGAATATGGTAAAATCTCTCTGATTAGGGTGCAAGGACCTCCAGATGTACCTCATGCCTTGCTATACCTCCCCACGGGGTGCGTGGTGCATGTTTAACCCCAGCCAGCACTGAGGTACCATGTGGTCACCTGTCACGTTGCAGAAGTGTGACTTCAGTAGTCTGGGATTAAAAATTACCATCCAATGGTGGTAATTCTTTCATTTGGTGTCCAAAGGTTGCACGGTATCACGCTGATCTGTTACTCAAAACAAACTATTCTCCTGGGTCCTCTTTAATCCTCCCATATTCCCATACTACTTATTTAGCTATTATGAACACCTCTTTGCCACAGGAGCGGAGCATATGCATAGATGAAATGAGCAGTCCTCTACACTTGATTAAGCATCATAAAACATAACCAGCACCTCTTTTTTAAAAAACAGTTTTGCATGTGATTGGCTGGGTGGCCTTAGCATCCCAGAAGAGCAGATTATTGCCATGGCACCTTTATGGACATCGCAAGTCCAAAAATAACTTGATGTGAATAAAGTAAAAATATGTCAAAGAAGTAAAATATGCTTTACCTTTAAGAAAATTTTGCAAAAAATACAATTCTCTGGAAATTGCAGTAACTCAGTAAGGCAGGCTTAGTAAATTCCTGTAACAATTCAGTTGATGGAAAGGTCCTCCTTCTATCGCAACGGTCTGCCTTTGCTATTTTAGACACTACAAGAAACATCTTGTTCTTCTGATTCTTTTCATATCAAAAGCAACATGAGAGACTGCGTGCCATGCCCAAGGACACAATGTTGAGTTAACTGACAAAACCCAGTGCCAAGTAGCCACGCTTCAAGTGTCAACTATGTGTTAGATAAGTAGGGGTTTTTTGCTGCATGAACAAACATCTCAGCTGCTTGATGAGCACTTGGCGAGACCACTGATCTAATGACAGAGGATGTGTTTGAAACAGTTGGTTATTCATGACAAGAGGCAGCTCTGGACTTTAGAAGCCTGCTGTGTAGCCAGCCTCTGGTCCAGGCAAGTGTTGCATTAGTACCAAACCTACGTTTGGGGTGCAGCTCCGAGAAACAGCTCTGCCAGCAAACCTGGCCTCAGACCTCCCCGGCTACTCATCCCCACCTCTGCCACAACTCACTGTCACCTCCCCAGGCCTGTGATAAAAGCGCCTTGGGTCAGGGCTGCAAATCACACCACTGAGCTGAAATGCCAAAAACGCAGTATTATTTTAACCCAGAGCACTTTACCGAGCCTCCTGAGAGCATGGCCCCACCGACTGTGGTATCTGCAAAACCAGGGCACCAGCCAGCCCCGGGGGGCTGGCAAGTCTGCCTCGGCTAGCTACCAACGGCAGCAAGTCATCAAAATGCACATTTCTGAGGCTGGGATAGCAAGTCTCTTCCTTCAGAGACATCAGACGGCCCGAACGCCAACAGTCTTGGCGCATCAGCGGTTCCCGTTGCTCTTGGTGCCGCTTCCAGCTGGAATGAGCACACAGGGCAGGGGGATGCCAAAAAATACTTCAGAGTTCAGGTTATTTCTGTAAACATCTGAAAACACAAATGCTTTCAGCCACGCTGGGGGATGTTGTTAAGATCAGCTCACCAGTACCATCATCAGTGGTCAGATCCGATTTACAGTTTTAACCATAAAGTTTGCAATACTGCCTGCTTCTGTATATACACACACTGGATAACTACAGGAGATTGGCAACTTGCATGGATAAAGAGGACTTGCAGAAGCATGCAGCTCAGAAGAGGTCGGATGGGTATATGCAGTTCTTCACTAACAAGAAACAAGACAGCCTTTGCAGAAATTCAGCGAGCGCCCGTACCTTCGTCAGCTGCTGCTCGGAGGGAAAGCCCAAACCAAACACAGTATTTGCTCTGCTGTCCGCCCACTGGCCGAACTTCTGCGATGTTTTCGTGAAGGTCATGTTAGGTGTGATTGTGCTGTTTATGATCACCTGTTTAAAAACAGATCAAAAAAGAATTAAAAAGTAGAAGCCACATCGGAAATGCATATCCTAGCAACGGCACCATCCAAAGCAATTAGCAGTCTAAATTGGGAAATTGCTGTATTCAGATGATTTTTTCCCAAAACAAAAGTTTCTATGTTGTCTTACTTCATGCAGGAATTCTGATGTTTTGTCTTCTTTTTCCAAAGCACTGTCAAGGTCCTGCAGTTAAACACCGCTACAGGAATGTCACTGAACTCAAAGCAACATCAGGGACCGGGAGCTATAAAACAACACTGGCAGAAAAGCCGATGCAAAATGCTCTTTTTTCAGTGCTACTCTTTCTCACGGCTACTCCCACCGCCCTGCCAGGCACCCGGGGTGGCCCGAGGCCTCCAAGCAGTGTGTCCACCAGCAACACCAGCCCTCAGACTGGAAGAGCCAGGAGGTATTTTTGCATTTCTCCATTTGGCCTTGGGCCTCTGCAAGTAGGATGTCTGAGACATGTCAGAAATTAAAAAAAAACCAACAAACAAACAAACCAAACCAACAGAAAACAAGACAAGGAGAAACCGATAGTTTAGTAGGGTGGTGCAGTGCATCACCAACAACGCACACGCAGTATCAAATGTGGGCCTCCAGACAAATATTCTGCCACTTCACACCAGTTAACTAATATCTGCTTCACCACCAGCAACCTTGAAAGCAACAGCGGTTCTTGTAATTAAAGAACCGGCCAACACGAGGAAGGCTGTTGGGATGAAGTCTCTAAGGAACTTAGCGGAGCAAGCATAAAATGTAATCTTGCAAAAAGGAATGAGATATATGTCAGTTCATTATCAAAAATCTTAACTTATTTTCAAGACACATTATTATATGAGTCTAGAGACTCCTTCCCCTGGAAATTAATTCATGCGCAATGTTCTTTCAGCTAACAGAATAGGAGCTTTCTTTAGTAACGCGCACCATCATTTCCAATATGCAAATCACGCAGTAATTAAGCCAAATCTGTGGGACAGTTTAATTAACATGATCAGGAAGTATCCTGGCAACATCATTTACTATGTATTCCAAGCAGTTTTTTTCCTAAGCGATCATTTACATTTAGCAAAAAGTGTGAATTAAATTTACCAGGGAAGACCATTACTGGCCTCCGCCCCCCCAACTCCTGACCTCTGTGCTGGTGCTTCTATTTGCTTTCTTAGCAATTGCTCAGCTTCAGTGGTTCCCTCTGTTTGCATCATCACTTTCAAGTAAAAATACCATTTTCTGCCATTTCCTACCCCTGAAAGTTTCAGCAGAAAGGACCAAAACAGAGGAGGGCTGGGTGGCTGGTACCCCTGAAACTGTTTTTTGCAGGGGAATAAACAGGGCGAGAAAGCGGGAGAGGCGACTCTGCAACCAGCGCTGGCCAACACACCGTGCAGGCACCAGCTTTAAGGCCAAAACATCTTTTTGAATGGCCGGTTGACAGGCAGAGGTATAAGCAAAGGTTCCCAGATGTGCCCTCCTCCAGCAAAGTCACACAACAGAAACACAGCCAGTATAAAATCTAAGTGTGATTTCAGAGATTTAAGTTATAAGAATATAAAAGATTTTATGTAGGGTTTTGACAACACAAAGGGAATATGATGATACGAGGATTGCATGTTACAGAGAGTCACAAGAACAGGAGGAAAAGCTACCGCCAACTCAGAAAAATCAGGATGCTTTCCAAAAACTTTAAGGAAAGTGCTATATGTATATCTCTTCTTTAAAAATCTTACATCAGACAGATGAACTACTTACAAATGTTTAGCTTCTGAAGTTACAGAAATTATTTTAGAAGCTATGAAATACCCATAAATTTCAAGTGCTAAAAAGTATTATTTCAGTCCTACTGTGCCTACCAAATTAGACATCTGTGGGGAAAAACTAATAAAACGGTCCATTTTATTGGAACGCAAAAGCTTCACTCACTGGAAGCAGACTCAGAAGAATAAAATTCTTCCATACCTCCTACACTAATCATTGAGTAAATACAAATATATTAAAAAAAACACACCAAAAGTATCTTTTAGACCACAGTCCATTATCATCCAAGATGCGATAAAAGGAATAATGAAGGCTGCAAACTGTAAACCAGGGAACACCTGACTGAGCGATGAAATGCACCACATCAGCTTAGCACCTTAGAGGTTAATTTCTTCTGTAGCCAGCGCAGAATCCAAGAAAAGGTTGTGGTGATCACACACCTTCAAAAAACTGACAGTTCATCTGTTAAATTTATAATAAGCTGCAATTAGTGAAACTGCCTAGAAGCTGGCTCTGCCTTTTTTTTTTTCCTTAAATCCTCCTCTGTCAATCAGGCACTTCAGAAATGCTGTGTTCCTGCAGAGAGACGAAAACCTAAGTAGAAGTTTAGGAGATTAAATCAGAGCTCATGGAAACAGTTCAGAGGAGCTGGATGCTGCGGGTACATTGCATTTATCCTTGGTCTTCCTCCTCATCCTCACCCCATCGCCCTGTCACGCTCGTGGGAAGACGCCACAACATTAAACGTTGGGAGCATCAGCCACTTTACGTTCACTTCCCACGTAAATCTGGTCATCGCTGCCAAGCAGAGACTCTACATTGGCCAGGGCACAATTATGATGGTTGTGTTTAGAAGAACATTCAAAAGCGAGGCTTGCAAGTGCTCCCACCAGGTAACCCAGGCTATCCCCCCTCCTAAAGCCAGCTCGCCCTCGGCTACGTGAGACGGGGAGGAAAGCGCTCCCCACCACCCCTCCATCTCCCGGGCAGAAGGTCTCGAGCTGGGGCAGAAGGCAGAGGAAGCATTTGTGGCCACCACAACAGGAAAGTTCAACCAAACCAGGAAAATTTTCTTTTTTCATGAGAGGATGAGGCAGAATTTTCAAGTTGCAAAGGCAGAAGGAGCTGGAGGAAGGGTGCAGAAGGGAAAGGGCACTATTTGAAAGCTGTTGCGGGCAGGATGAATCTGCAGGCTCTTTTCCACCCCTAACTGCAATCCACTATTATAATTCTATAAGAAAAGGCCACTCATCAATTCAAATGGGCTCTTATGAAATAACTTTGCATTTAGTCCTCACTCATATAATACACACACGGTGCAATTCCAGCTGCATCAGAAAATGGCATAAACTTGCGGACTTTCACCCAGGATAATGGATGCAAAAGACGAACTACTCTCTAATCAAATGCAATCAACCCCTGAAGTGGTTAAAGAGCTCTCCCTAAAGACAAAGGCAAAGAGAAGCATAATATAATAAGCACCTTACAGAGTAATAAACTCATTCGTCACACTGACTGAATTGTCTACATGTGGTTAAAAAAAAAATCTGCCTTTGCTCTCATCTTGCATCCACATGCAAGAGTATCAGATGGCGAACGTTCCCGATACATCTGCATAAGCCAAACAAAATCTCATACTAATTCCACTTCCTTTGGGAGAAAAACAATCCTGACAGATCTACATTTTCATTTGAAGATGACACAGAAGAATGTTCACAGTACAAGGTAGTGCCACATCAACCAGGAATAACTCCAGACATTTAGAAACACATCGGGTTTGTTCATCAGATAAAAGTGAATGCAAATAAGCTGGCGTAGAGCAGAACATTCGTCGGCTGTAACACACCCATCCCGCTGCCTTCCCACGGAGACAAACTGCCAAATAAATGAAGCAGGGAGAGGTCACAAAACAACCGGAGTGCGACGAAGGAAAAAAAGGTATTGGCAGCTCATGCTGCTCGAAATACATGAGCAGTGCCCATATACACAGCTGCCGTTTCTTTTAGGGGATGCTTCGAGTATCTGAAGGGTTCCCCTCCCATACTCCCCATATCACAACAGTGCACTGAAAGGAAAAAGCCAATGTGGCTCCTGAAAATACATTTTCCCAAGTCGCCATTTCATTAACGCATGGGGAACGTGCGTGCGGCCGGCCGGAGCAGAGAGGGAGCAGAGCTGGAGCAGCACACGGGGGTTGCTGGCTCGGCTCACAGCGTACGCCCTGCCGGCACCGGCCCCGGCTTGCCAGATTTGCAAGAGGGAAAAGCAGAGATGAGAGCAAGCTCAGCGCCGAGGGGAGGACGGCAGCGACCGCGGCGGGCATTTGGCAGAGCCACTGGCACAGCCCCGAGGAGGAGGGCCAACGCGCCGGCAGGAATCGGCCCGGACACCTCCTCTGACGAGACACCCACCAAAGGGGATGATGAGCCAACTCAGCCAGCCCTGTCACAAGCTTCTCTCCCTGGGAAAAGACCAAAATAACAGCTATGAAATAGCTAACGAATATATTAGCCAATATATTTTGGATCTGCATTAAATTAAATCAGAAAAAGGCCTCTTATTCTGGGACAAGAGTGCCAGATTAGGAATTATTCTGGAATTTCCCCTTTAAATTCACATCAACTGTTACTCTGAAGTAACCTCACCTCCAGATCCAAGGCTCGAGGCCATAGGATCTACTCATTAAGAGGTCACTACATTAAAACCTCCCCGTTTCATTTTCACACCTCTGAATATGTGCCTTCCAGTTTGCAGCCCTCGTGAAATTTAATTTCCCCAACCCACCAGGCTGCTAATCTTCAGTAAAGATGTATCCCAGTCTGAAAACAGAATTGAAGAGGGAAAGAAGCTGCTAATCCTCTGGCCACAGCTATCACAGGCTCGGCAGGTTCTTCCAGCTCATCAAGTTGACATGATTCAGAAGGGCTTGTGACACTGGATGTGAAGATGAGGAGACAGGGATGGATTTGCAGAGAAATTCTCCCTCCATCCCAAATGTTCAGCAACTCCCTTGTGGAATTAACCCACCTACGTTTCCGTGATTGGCATTATCCTTTGCTATCTATCTACCATCCTTCCAACCTCTGCCGAGAGCTTCTAGACTTTGATGTATCACCTTTTCACCAGTAAGTCACCAGTGATAAACTGATCATCTCGCTTCTAGTCCGACAAAGGCAGCACACACACACACAGTTAATCAAGACAGCGCTACTGAA